CAACCAGTATTTTTATAACTATTCAATATTGTTACATAATATTACTTTTAAAGGCATTTCATTGTTAGCTAATTGATCGTTAAGTTCACTACAGGAAATAATTTCTAAGGATAAATAATTATGTGAGACACGATATAAAAGATTTCTGATAGAGTTGCAACGAATATTCGATTACTATTAATTAATATACGGTATTCGGTGATATTGAATCACTGTTCGGCCAAATACCGAATACCTAAACACAGCAGGAACGACCTTCGTGGTCGAGTGGCTTTCTCACTGGTTTTCATGGTGTCGCCATCTGTGAGGTCCCGGATTTAATTCCCGGCCGGGTCAATGTAGAAAAAGTTTTCTATGTTGTCTCGGTCTGAGTGTTTGTGGTTACCGTCATAGTTTCTGATTTCCAAAACACAAGTGCTTTAGTTACTTACTTTGGGATCAGAGCAACGTATGAGATGTTGTCTAATATTTATTAATTTGACCAATATATGAAGAAAAAACCATGTAACTTTGACCAAAAAAGAAATAAGGAAAAACACAATAAATTATCATGTAACTTTTATTAATACTGAGCATACATGCACGTTCGCGAAAGCGTAATATTCCGCTTTTTATCTAAAATATCATAAAATGTAACAAAGTTATTTATCTGAGATCAAAAACTGATAACATATCAAATAAAAACCACCTACTATAGTTTACTTATAACTAATAAATGGTAACAAATCTGCCAAGTACTTATTATGTGAAAAGCAAAATAAATAGCAAATGGAACATTTTTTTCGGATCTGAATCATGTATATTTGTTTTATCAAACAACCCAACGTTTCGGGTCCTCTATAGGTTACGATTGACTTACAGTTATTCAATTCCTATATGTAACAATCGCGAAAACCTAAGAACTCGATAACTGAGCAAAATAAAATTAAGTTAGTCAACCTGAAGTGAAATAAACAATTCGTGTTTCATTAATTCGTTAATTCTGTAGCTCTCGTGAAAAGGGGTACAAGTGAAAAAAGCCATCTTAACAAGGAAACGCCAAAAACACTTAACGTTTAATATGATATATATTATATATAGCTTTAACTGTTTTTCGCGCCTACTTGTAAAGTTGGCTTTTTCGACTTGCACCTCTTTTCACTAGAGCCACAGAATTAATAACATTAGGGCTGGTAGCTATGAAGGTATCTAACTGGGTGACGAAATACTTTCATAGATTTCTCGTAGAACGCGCTACGGCTAAAAAGTCGTTGAAAATCAAATACAAAAGATCCGCCATCAAGTACATAGAAAAATTCGTGAGGTCCGTTAGTTCGTTCCGTGGTTTAGTTTGCATGCGTCTGGGATGGTTTGCTAGGAGACGTCGGTTCGAATCCGGCCGGATGGAAGGAATTTTTTGTAAGTATTCAACGATTGAACATTGTTCTTAGACAACATCTTAGAATAATAACGCATTAATAATTATAAAATTACATAAATGAACATTTATTTTTTTATGTATAAAATGATTTATCATAACTAAAGTTAATAAGTGGTGATGCCGACGATGCTGTTACGCTGCGGTTATCACAAATTAACTTATTTGTCGTTAATAAAATTCGATTTTTCACTTGACATGTGTATGTAAACAATCAATCAACATGACAACAAGAATAAAATATAGAGTGTACGAAGGAGTCCGTAACAAGTGGTATTTTAATACCAATTTTCCTACGTGCTTTAATCAGGCCGAATAGTTTGGGCAAATATTTTGCAATTCGGCCATGTTCCTGGCCAGCCAGAGCCAGAATTTCTGTCCGTTGAAACATTAATTTTAGTAGTTTCAACGTGGTTAATAAAAACTAATTGTGTCATCGTAACTGTCATAGTCAACTTCAAAATTATTGACGTTACATGGAGTTTAGTCTTAAACCATGGAAACCAAAGGACATGTTATATTGACAAAATGTCATCTTGTTCTATTTCTGCGAATAATCGGGATCGATTATTCGCAGTAATAGAACAAGAATTTTCTCAAGAGGAATATTGATCTACTTTAATTATAAGTTTTATTCATAGTTTGATTACAATAAACTAAAGAAACAAAAAAAAAAAATTTCAACGTTCAAGCCATACATTTGCATGTCGATAATGACTTATCGATAGATTATGGTACAGCACTAAAGAAATCCGCCATTTCTAGCGTTCAATTTTTGTTTTGTTATGCACGTTCATTCTGTAGTTCTGGCAGCTCCTTTCCTTTATTTTTTTCCATCCTCTAGTACGTTACATATTCAGTCTTAATTCAGTGGAGGGCATTGACCATTGAGGCATTGACCTACCAACAAAGGAGGGTATAAAACATCTTTGCCTTTTGTGAAATTTCAAATTACAACTGGGTAATATTAGACTTCTTATATAACAAAGCGGAATTGAGAACGCCTTTTCATCAAAATAAACATTTTAGTAGTAGTATTCACGCATAAGCCATTTGTAGAATTTCTTAAAACCACTTTATGTAATATGTTCAATTCCATTTTGTCTCATGACAATGCATAGGTTATCCCTCTTGAAAATTCCGCTTTGAATGATTCCAATGCATAGGTTATTCCACTCGAAAATTTCCCAATACATATACCAGTCGAAATGACAGTCATATGAAAATTACTATAGTGACGGGTTTTTAGGCTTTCGTGGTTGGTACACATTGAAAATGAAACAATTTTTTTATGGTCATTATTGACCATAGGACTTGTAAATAGGGTTACCATTCCGAAATTTGAATAGTCCGGACAAAAAGCCTGACATTTACAAGATAGTCCGGTTTCACGCGACGGAAAGATAGTGGACGATGTCTTTGAGAGATAAGTGATATTAACATTCTTGCAACTAGCGTCCAGTATATTTATGGAAATGTAATATATACAGACAGATACATAACGTGAATACGAGAAATTAAAATAAACTAGCTGCTATTGACAGTCGTCTCCATAAAGTCACAAATTCATTTAAGGGCTATACCTACCTTATATAATAAGATTCCGTTTGTTGTTCAAAATTTGCCACTAACGAGGTTAAAAACTGTAGAGAACAATACAATACAGCTTCTGCTTATTTGGATGAGAAAATCCGTGGTAGGGACTCGTTTAGTTCTCGCAGGCGGTATCGATCTAAAATTTTTGAAATAAATGGAGTAAATGATAAATGTGTTTAAATGACATGAAATGACAACTCTTAGAGTTTTTTGCTCATTCTTCTCAGGGGAATCTGCCTTACGAATGAGCAGTAGAGTATAATTATTATTTTTTTATATAATTGTTATAGGAGTGTGGCTATATAAAGAGTCAGCTCAGCTAGGAATCTTGGGTTGCAAATGGATAGTGACCTGCTCTTTGAAAATCATGTATTGAACGTCTACGCTCTTGTTTCTATCGCCTAAAAGTTCTGTACAATTTTAGATCTTATTATCAGCCAGGATTTGAGAGTTCTGCTTTGTGAGGCACTGGTATTGCCTAGGCTGAACTATTGCATCACGGTGTATAGTGGCTGTCTCAAAAAAAGCTCAAAAAAAAACTGATCCAGCGAGTGCAAAATTCTTGTGCTCGCTATTGTTTTCGAATTTATCCTCGCACACATATCACGCCCTATCTAAACAAATTCGGCATTCTGAAAATGGAGGCTCGTCAGAAGCTATATTTGGCCTGCCTAATGTTTGATATAGTTAAAATCCGGAAACCTGATTATCTATACCACAAAATTAATTGGTCACAACATGTAAGGGAGGATAAGTTCCGATTAGTTTCTAAAAATTTTATTAACATCCCAAAACACAGAACGACTGCTTTTCGCGGCGGTTTAAGGTATCGCGCCAGTAAGTGCTGGAATGATATTCCTCCTCCATTGCGTGGCATCAATAATAAAAAACGATTTAAGCGTGAATACAAAAAACATCTTTTGTGAGCAGATGTGTCTCGCTACATATGTAGATATTTCCCTAATCAATGCGTTTGATGCCCGTTAACCTAAATTTCCGTACCTGTTATATTAATATTTGGTGGCTATTGTTAAAATTTAATATTATGTTTGTGAACTTACATTATTATTTATATTGCTCACCTTCATTACTTACACTATTTACATTATTTGCTTTACATCGTACACTTTTGCTTGATATATATATGTATAGTATTTAGAGTCATACGCAATAAAGTCATAGCACTGGTTAGACTTGTGATTTCAGTTTGAATTTGAGTACGGACATGCGCCTGGACAATATTATTTTTGTAAATCTAGATTTACTACATAATTGTGAGGTGGATATTTTACTTTATTCTGAAAATTGTGGCGCTAAGCCGAAAAATCTGGACAAATCCGGACAAAATATAAAAAGCCGGATAATGTGTGTACAAATCTGGACAGAAGGTGATCCTACCTGTTTTAAAAAACAAATGCACATTTAACCAAATTGCTACACCTAGTGATAATTATAAAGTCAGGTTTATGAATAAGGGTATCCATAAAGATTTCCCCCCCTCAAAAAAAAAAAAAAAAAAAGGTTTATGAATAAGATGTATGACAATAAGAGTAAGGCAGAATAAATTAGGTAAAGGCAAAAGATTATTATCGAAAAAGGTTTACACGATATTTAGATCTGAAGATTTTTAACGTCATAGATTTGATAAGGAGCATGTAACAAATTACACAGCACTTTGACGACTTGTAGTAAAGAGGAGTAATAAAATTAGCTTTTTGAAAAGAAAAAGAAATGTTTTCTTTGACGTTTCTTTCATAATGTTTTAGACAAAGTTATATGCATAGGAATGAAACTATTTTTCCGGATTTAAATCGCGTATATTTGTTTTTTCAAACAAACCGACGTTTCGGGCGAAAACCTAAGAACTCGAAAAGTTATATGCATTGAGTAAACGGAGTAAATGATAAATATTTTCAATTTACGTGTAAGGATAATCGAGTGCACGTTATTACTCTTTAAATGATCAATTTTTTACTTCTCATTACAGAGCAAAGGAGTTTATGCGGTACCCAAGCTTGTTCTTTTTACATCAGAACTGGCTCATTATTCAACCAAAAAGTTAGCCACCTTTATGGGTATTGGCAGCGATAACTGCGTAATGGTGAATTGTGACGAGCGAGGGAAAATGGACATTGAGGACTTGGAATTAAAGATCAATGAGGCGATAGAAAGTGGTGCGACACCATTTTTGGTTACTGCCACAGCTGGTACGACCGTCTTTGGTGCATTTGATCCGTTAGTGGCGATCTCTGGTCTGTGCAAGAAGTACAACCTGTGGTTCCATGTGGATGCTGCTTGGGGCGGCGGAGCATTGATGTCAAGAAAACACAGACATCTTTTGGCCGGAATCGAGTTGTAAGTTATTAATGCTTAATATTTTCGGGAAATTAAGCTTAATAATGCACATATTCTACATAGCCCCGCACTAGGAAAGCTCTGTGTCGCGGGTGCCATGGACAATCACAAATTACACCCAAAATCACGAGAGAAATAAATGTAGGCCTTATAAATATTTCTCCCGGTCCGGGAATCGAACCTGGGACCTCTGGCGTGGCAGTCCGTAATGGTAACTGTTCGGCCACGGAGGCAGTTAAATATTTATTTTTAAACGGTTTTAAAATTAAAACCGTTTAAAAACATTTTGCTGTATTTTTGCTGCAGCCTTTTACAAATAATACATTTGCTTAGTAAATCACTCACCTAATGTTTAATATACGTACAGAAGATGTGAGAAATTAAAAAAAAATCGCAATGCAAAATTTAATACTGACTTATTACTAAGAAAACAACGAGAACGACTCAAGAACGAGTTGCAAAACATGATTTCTTAAGACTTACCTTGGCATTAATTAGTGCAAAATTTTAATCGCAATTCCTATTAAATTTAACGCTGGAGTTATACAATGATAATTTTACAGCCAGATTATTAAAACATTTATGTGACATTTCGTATGTTATTAAAATAAACTGTAATTATCATATTGTTAATTAGCTTCTACAAATTTATCCAAATTATTATAACTAATTTTGAAACATCCCCGTGGCCGAACGGTTACCATACTGCTCTGCCACGCAGAGGTATTTGTATGGCCTACATTTATTTCTCTTGTGAGTTTGAAGTTGTCTATGTGTGTGTCCATGGCACCCGTGATACAGGGTTTCCTTAATGCAGGGCTATAAGTGTGTGCGTTGTTTATTTATTAGAGAATTCCAAATGGGTTTTGGAATTTTAAAATTTTAATTGGTACTAACTTTTATATTATGTATGTTCTTCTATAAATGTTGTATGCTTACACTATAAATCTTTTAAAATACGTACAAACCTATTTTACTACTAATTCTAAATTTACACTTATCCGAAGGGCCTTTTTGTGATATACTTTGTTATTTTATCATGCTATTTTTGAATTGGTCTACATAGGTACTTTTATAAATTGGGTAACTTATTTAGTAAACTTCGTTACATTTTGAATGATCTTGCTCATTCCTCGTCACGGTTATTGTCACGGGTCATCTTATAATTGCTTTACTAGGTTAAATGAATTTCGCTAACATTGAATTCCAGGGCCGATTCAGTGACGTGGAACCCTCACAAACTCTTGGCGGCTCCGCAACAATGTTCCACGTTCCTAATGAGACACAAGAACGTCCTCAAAGATGGACATTCCTGTGAAGCGAAGTATCTATTCCAGAAGGACAAATTTTACGACACATCTTACGACACCGGAGATAAGCATATTCAATGTGGACGACGAGCGGATGTCCTTAAATTCTGGTTTATGTGGAAAGCAAAAGGCAGCGAGGGTTTCGAAATGCACATCGATAAATTATTCGACAATGCGAAGTATTTCTTTGATCACATTCGACAAAGAGAAGGATTCGAACTCGTGATTGATAAGCCAGAGTGTACGAATGTATTGTTCTGGTATGTACCACCTTGCCTTCGAGGCCGCGAAAACGAGCCAGATTACAAAGAAAGGCTACACAAGGTCGCCCCGAAATTAAAAGAACGTATGATAAAGGAAGGAAGTATGATGGTCACCTACCAACCGCAAGGTAATTTGGTAAATTTCTTCCGCATTGTTTTCCAAAGTTCAGCTTTAGACCATAAAGATATGGTTTACTTTGCTAACGAGTTCGAAAGGCTCGGGAAAGATATTGTAGTTTAAAATTAAGAAACTTGTAACCTTGTACAAAATTCTGCGACTTTGTAGCCTGTGATTTTAATGTTGAATCTATTTATTTAACGATCGAAAAATATGTAGAGAATATTTACTATGTTACTGCGTTTATGCAGCATTGTAGAATTAGTATTATCTTAATAAATGTAGTTGTAGAATATTTTGCTATTAGTTTCATTTTAAAGTCACAATGAAAACTAACAATATTCATTAACTGATATACATTAATATACGTAAAGTGTGTCATCCAGTATCTCTAATTAAAGAACTTTTCAACAGCCTCCGCGGTCGAGTGACCTGCACACCGGTTTTCATGGTGTCGCCATCTCTGAGGTGCCGGATTCGATTCCTGGTCGGGTCAGTGCAGAAAATTAACTTTTCTGTATTGTCTCGGGTCTGGGTGTTTGTGATACCATCGTTGTTTCCGATTTTAATAACACAAGTGTTTTAGTTACTTACTTTTGAATTAGAGCAACGATGTTTTTGTTATAATATCAATTAACGGGACGAACACGTTGTGCACTTGATGGTAAGCTACAAGCCTGTCCATAATAGTTGCAGTGCCACTCAGAGCTTTAAGTCGCAAAGATCTGAGGGGCACTGCCACTGCGGCCTGAGACATAATTAAGTTGACTAGTCCCATGCGCCTGTAATTTCACCAGCACCCTTACGTTACGGCAGTAGCAAGGTAGCTGCCGTACAGTTGGTGTCCTTACTTAAGAATCCACCATTTGTTCTAAGTGATATACAAATAGTGGATGCATAAATGAGGGCACCTACTGTACACTGTTGATGAGTTCCTCTCATCTATCAGCCATTTCCATCATCAGATCAACTCTAAACAACCATAACATTTAATTTTCATTTTAAATATGTCTATGTGCCCAGTTTTATTGAAATTCGTTTACGGAAAGTGGGCCAAGTTTAGTAAACTGGTTCCTTAATTTGCAACCTTATAAGTCGATATTTTCTTCAAATTTGAATTGGACCACTACGGAGGTACTCCCTTTACAACAACAAAAAAAAAAATCAAAATCGTATCGCGTAATATACACACAAAAATAATACTATCGAATTCAGAACCTCTTTTTTTGAAGTCGATTAAAAATACTTAAATAGTAACACAATATTTAAACAACATAGTTAAGATGGAACCAGATCGGTGAACAAGGAGGATCATGGAGTGGCGACCATGGGGCAACACGCGCCGCAAAGGTCGTCCGCCACTTCGTAGGGTAGATGACATTAAAATTTTCGCGGGCCGCAACTGGATGCTTGTGCGCGGGAGCGACGTAAATGGAGAGATATGGAGGAGACCTATATCCAAAGACGGATGGAGTAGAGGCTGCTTGACGATGATGAACTAACAAAAGCAACTCGGCGATTTCAAAGACACGTTTTACCCACTCTAAATGTCTCAGTTCCTAGTAGTTTAGATATATTCAGCTTATTCCGATTAGGGCTTTTATTCGGGAATTTCGGTTTCGATTTTTTGGCGTTTTCGAGACTAGAAGGACTAGATACCTACTGATGTTTTCAGACTCAAGAATATCGAGACTTTTGAGACTTACGTCACTTAATTAAACAATATTATGAAATGTACTAAACCAGCAGTATTTTTTTTTATTTTGGTTACTTGGAAATGGCAACACTGTACAATGGAGCTTAATATAATTTGTGAAGATTAAAGAACGATAGTAATAAAACAGGTCATCTCTATCGGAAACTAATTAATGTGTGTGGGCACGTAGCCCACTACAAAATTGAAAAAAAAAACTCAAAAATATTGCAATGTTTATTTTTTTATATTATAATGTTTTTACTATAATGATATTCATGTGTTTTTAATAATAATAATAATAATAAATGTTTATTTCAGTAATACAATTAACTTTACATTAACAGTGGATGGTACCTCCTATTAAGCTTATCAAGCCTGTGTCAGAAGGTACCGCTCTTCCATAGCTATAAATGCATATTTAACATTTTAACTTATACTTAATGTAGTGTTTAATTTATACATTTCCAAACATCGACAAAAACAAAAGAAACAATTTTTTTTAACATTTTTCCATTTTCTTAACTTCTAATTTTAAATTTAATTTGAATCTTAAAACGTATGTGTGTGCATTTGTATATGAAAAAGTAAATGAAAAAGTAAGTAAGTAAGTTTTTTGCGAAAATACTCGTCTAGTTTGTTATTATTATTGACACCAAATTAAACACAAAGAAAAATTCCTTCGAAAGCGTGTGATACCTAACCGGGTGCCTGCTGTTCCGGTCTTATCAATTGATCTGCAGATCGAGTTAGGAGATCTTTCAGAATTCTTATTAATTATAAGTTCGGATAATGTCTGACAAACACAGACCATCGACAAATAACAGGTAGAGATCGAAAAATAGCACTATGCCGAGGCATCCTTTTCGTCAACTTAGTAATAGATATCAGAGTTAATTATATATAATAACATTAAGTCGTAACATTTTATTTAGCGTTGGACGACTGTCGCTTTTAGCCTGTTCCCATATCACGACTGTCTGTCGTGTGTGTGTCGTGGACGTATTTTATCGTTGAATGTCTGTCGCGTCTAGCGATTATCACTGCATGGTGACGACAATTTATCGGTTCACGGAAGTCGCCTTGTCGTATGCACGACATTATCGTTTAATGAACAGTCGAGCGCAACGGGGACGAGAGGGGAGAGTAGAGAGCGCAACACGTGCAGACGACGATAAATAAAACGTGACGACAATAGTAGCTGCGATTATCAGTCGTCACATTTTTATCGTGACGATTTATTTGTCGTCGGATGACTGTCGTTGTAGCTCTTCTTCATTGTCTTGACAGTCTGTCGTCATAACGTCATAAAAGAAGGCCTGAACGACAGTTAATCGTAGGGTACTATACGTGAACAACTTCATTTAAATATACAAGCCACGACACTTTAAACTGCACGACTATCCTGTCGTCACGATATAATGGGAGTGCGCCCGTACATGTATTATGCGTTTTTCAATGATGAATATAGTTCTATTTTTTAATTTTAATTTTTAATTACTACATAGAGGAATTCGTAAGATTTGCGTCATCCACGTGTAGGTTAGCTGGTAAGCGCGGTGGCCACGGTTAGACAATAGACGCTGGTACGAGTTGGACCGAAGTAATTTTACTTTGTGTTTGTTCAATCTTTGCATCAATAATAATTTCATAAGTATTTTTATAATTACTCCACTTTAAAATAAGGAGGAGGTTCTCAGTTCGACTGTATATTTTTTTTATGTATGTTACGCGATAATTCCGGTATTTGTGAACCGATTTTGATGATTCTTTTTCTTTGTTGGAA